GTAGGGTAGTGGTTACGGCGCAGCGCTCTCACTGCTGCAGCCCGGGTTTGTGTCAGGATGGGCATCCGGTGTAAAACACGTGCCAAATGTCAACATGCGACAATTCGCTGTGGCGACCCCTAAACAAGTAAAGCCAAAAGTGATTGTGTGGCATTCATGTGGCAAAGTCAGAATTTCATTGTAGAGGGAAACATGTTTCCTAACTGTGCATATGACAAATAAACACCTTGACCACAGTTTATTGGCCCAAACCATGATATTTTTCTAATCTTAACTAAACTGTGGTTTGCATGCACAAATACTGTAGAGAGATCTTTTAAAAAGTTAGAATTGGACATAAACCATTGTTTTGTAGACTCATACAACATTAACATTCTAGCAACAGGTTTACAGTTGTGCACCTACAGTGCTGAGGCCTGGTGAAAAGGTGACAAACGAATAAGTCATAGGTGGAGCTTGTCTGAAAAACATGGATTGTAGTGGCAGGAAAGATCACAGTAATATCTGAAACAGGATTGGAAAGGTTTGTTAAATGTATCGTGCTTAGTTAGATTTAGTTAAGCTAAATAACAACTTTTCAAAATTACAGAAAAACAAAATTACACAAAATAGAATTTGTTTGGGTCTTGTTCTTGTTACAGAAGCACTACAAAGTGCTGGTGTGTTTTCCCAGTCAATAATATGGTCGTGACAGTGTTCCCTGTGTTGGTTTTATCTGAAAATAAAGATGCTGATCAGCTGTTTCATGCCTCTGTGTTCCCTAAAATGGTATCACTTCCTAGTCAGCCACCTTTATAAAGGTTTAGAGGCTGTAATGACTAACATCAAACATGCTTAACAAATCATTTAATAAAACTTTATAGATCAGTTACAACCCATATAAACAAATTCTGGGTTGCCAAGTTGTGAAACATTTTTTCAGTAAAGGGCTGCAAATGATCGGCACCAAAATTGTACTAACAACTCCTAAATACTTTAGGGGGCACCTTGCTAGACACTGGTAGACTTCTGTGACCTAAGACCAGACACCTTCCAATAGCTGCATTTTCAAAAAGGAAGCATTACTAAATCATGCAGCCTGTCAGAACACTCCAGTGGATTTTAACCTGTAAGTCTGACTAAAGTGTTCATTGCAGTTCAAACTAAAACCAGATTAAAGTATTCCCAAAGTTTGTCAACATTTAGTAATGATTAAAGAAATACTATTGTGTGTAACAGCCTCAGCAAGAACTAGAATAAAAACTGACAATAGATATAAACTTCTGTATGTAGGTGATGAAATATGACCAACACTCATACGTACTTCTGAACTCAGGACCATAAATGTGAAAATCTAAAACTAGTTAGCAAAATTGACAGCACCAACGGCATGAGAAATTATAAAAAAACACCACAAATGACACCCAGAACTTCTATAGAGATTGTATTATATTTCCAAAAATATATGTACAGTCTATTACAAATGTAACAAAGCAAAAAGAATTGTCTATGTAACAAGAAATTGTCTAATTAAAGGATCTTACAGTTCTGTTGGGGAAAATGGAAAATACCTTTAACCAGTGAATATTCTCAATACTTTCATCACAGAAAAATAAATAATAAATTGACAATTTGTATTACTGTACATCAAACTAAAAGGCAACACAAAGACAAAGTCAAAGGAAAGATAAAGATCTTATCAGCTGTCTTTGGTCCTAAATGAGAAATTATGTACAACTGAAATCCTGTGGGTGACAATAATTAATCTGCAAGATAGAAAAATATAGTGCATTTTCAATGTATTCAGAGCTCTCTACCGTGTAATATGCATAAAAAAGCAATATAAATAAAATGTACAAGTTTTACAATTAGAACATATACAAAGATTCCCTCAAATCCCAGCTCTGTCAGACACAATCAACTATGCTGCGCTCTTTGGAATTATCCACCACCTCGCCAAAGTGGTGACTTCCAACAAATGAACTACAAGATTTCAAAAATAACTTCATACTCTATCAGCTATTTCTGATTCCAACCAAGCCTCTACATCCTGCAGGTTTTTGATTGTTTTTTTTTTAATTCTTTTTTGGTTTATTTTTTGTTTTGTTTTTTTTTTTAATAGAGCCACAACACAACCATTTTGTTTGTCCAGAGTTGAGCGACCTGAATTTCAGAATATGGATGACACAAGCTGAGAAGACAGTAAAGTGACTTTGTTGGTGAAGGTTACAGGTGATTTGGATGTTGATTGATTGTATCCTGGCCTTAATCTCAGTTTGGCTCAGACTGCTGTTTCTCCAGCAGAGGAAAAGAGGGTGGGGGGTGGGGTACATAGGCATTCTACCATAGGGTATGTGGGGCC